GAGATATAAATACCTTACAAATTTGTTTTGTACCTTCTCCAGCATTAGATCGTACTTCTTCTCATGTGTAGCCCAAATTATTGAATTACACTCCAAATGACTCCGTACTAGTGTGTTGTACAAAGCTATAATAGCTTGCACATTTATGAAACCGTTAACCGTTTGTGTGGGAACGTAAAACCTAGAGTTCTAAAAGCCTTTTTACATATATCAACAATATGATTCTTAAACGTTAAATCAACAGAAAATTTTACTCCTAAATCCATGACTTGCATTACCCTAGACATAGGTGTCCTGTCAATGTAATATGTATACTCTATGGGCATATGTTTGCGCGTGAAAGATATTGTTAAGCATTTAGCGGTATTAAATTGTAATTTGTTGTCTTTGCTCCATTCAACAACTTTATTTATATCGTCTTGGAGACTATCACAGTCCTCCAAACTACCTATATTCATCGATAACTCAAGGTCTTCCGCAAATAATAAACATTTTGATTTCTTCACAACATTGAGTAAGTCATTTATCATGATTAAAAACTCCAAAGGTCCTAGATTCGACCCCTGACTCACACCAGACCAGGTAAAATATGGTTTTGTCTTATGACCCTCATATGCTACATACTGTTGCCTATCTGTCATGTAGCTAGCGAAAAATCTCAATAAATGTGGGGTGAAACCAAATTTTGCCATTTTTTTTTAGTAATATGTCATTATTTACCAAATCAAATGTTTTTTTGAAATCAAAATAAGCAGTATCAGCTTGTCCCCCACTATCAACTACTGGTATTATATCGGCCGTAAGCTCTAGAAGGTTACTCGCAGTGCTCCGAGCAGGTCTGAACCCGTGCTGCGCTTCCGATAGCTGTGTGTTTATCTGTTGATATAAGCTTTTGTATATAGCCGACTCCAACACCTTGGCTGGAGTAGACAGCACTGCTACCGGTCTAAAGTTCTCTACACTGATCGCTATATTTCCTTTTGGAACGGGAACCACCTTCGTTATTTTCCATTTTTCTGGAAACCTAGCTTGGTTTAAACAGTTATTGTAAATGTGAAGTAGTGGTTTTGCTAGCGCAGAATGGCAATCTTTAAAGATAAAAGGTGGTATCCCGTCTGGTCCTGCAGATTTCTTTGGCTTAAGTTGTTTAAGTGCGGTCAGTATGTTCTTAAGTTGCAACTGGCTCAAGTGAATTCGCGCTGCCCCGTTATCCCCTCCGGCGTCAATGATAGCCTTACTCACATTTAAGTTTGGTCTCTGTGTAGTATACACCGAATGAAAGTATTTTGAAAACTCAATAGCACAAAGCCCGTTGGTCAAAACCTCCCCATTTATTAAAATTTTTTTTGGATTTAGATTACCTCTTTTGGAATTAACAAAATTCCAAAAGGATTTTGGGTCTCTTTAGAGATTATTTTGCACGCAGTTCTTATACTGGTTATGTGCAGTTACTAGCATATTTTTAACTTTAGTTCTCAACTCAGCGAATTTTATATAGTCAGTGACTAATCGTGTCTTTTTATATTTTTTATGGGACGTAGCTTTATATTTTATTAAATTAATAATATCCCTAGTATACCATTAAAGGTATATCCGACCTGAGCGTACCCGTTTTGTTTTTCTTTTTGGTACACATTTGTCTAATGCTAAGTTAATCTCCTTGTAAAAATAATCTAAGCTTTGTTCTAAATCTAATGAATAAATTGGGGTCCAGTCTATGTTAAATATTGATGAATATAATAATAAAAAATCAGCTTTGTAAAAATTCCATTGTAAGGTACCTGTATCATTATCGGGGGATGTAGGCGTCCGTGGCAGATTCCCGGTGGTTGGCGAAGACACAGTCACTGTCACTTCCAGTGGAGGATGGTACTCATCCACCCTCACAAGACTAGTTTCTGAAGCTCGAACCTTCACACAATCTTCATCCTCAAATGAACTCAAGACCAAGTCCAACAATTTATTGTCACAGTTACTCACCCTGTTACTCTGAACGAATCCACAGAATGATATAAAAAAGTCAAAATAATTTATTATATTTGACGAACATGAATTAAGATTAAAATCACCTATCACTATTATTTTTCTATAACAAGCACATATATTTTCTATTATTCTGAACATTACCATATACTCATTATCTTTACTACAAGGCGGAATATAAACTACACACAATAAAAACAAAAAAACGATTTTTTAAGTAAACAGACGCACATACTAATTCAAAGACGTGATCGTCTATGTTTACATCACTCGGACCGAGAACTCGCCGTAGTTCAAATTGCGCCTCCCTGCTTGCGGCCATCCGCTCGATCACAACGAAGAATAGTGTAACTTGGTGGAATTAACTCTGCGTCTTGAATAGACTGGTAACATCCTGTTTCCGTTATTGCATATAAGTCAGCCTTCATCGATGATATGCCAGTATAAAAATCTTCAATTTTTGTTCTAAGTCCTCTTACATTTTGATAATATAAATCTATCGAACGTTTTACTTTCTTGGTATTTATTTTATGTTTGTTGTTGTTTGTGGTATGATTTCCGAAACCAAATCCATTCGCAAAATTCAATATTTATGGGCCAACTTTCAGTTTTACATATTTTATCATAATGACCCTCCGGAACTGCAATAATGAAGGAGGCGTAATCTCTCTCTGTCTTGTGCCTTATTTTCTCTATTTTTACTTGTATTTCCTCTTCATATAAGCTTTTAATGTATTTTTCTAAATTTGTTTCTGTGGTGTCTTTGTTAAGACGCCATACATGTAGGTATTTTTTCGTTCGGTTCCCTGGATTAAATTCACATTAGAGATTCCGCCTTTCTTTACTTCACGGTTGGAGTATCTACTCTTTTTTTATTGTTCGTAACAACTTTCCAATTTTCTGCGCTCATTAAATTCCCTTCGATTTTGTCTTCACTATCGATTTTGATGATTTCATCCCTTGACCTATTGGATTCGCAACTTAAAACATTTGCCTGTTTCATGGCCCCACATTCCTTTACTTTATCAGTCGCGGTAATCTGCAATGGTTTGTATTTTTTAACTGCATCAACAAATGATACAGATGGTTCTTTAGGCGACATTTGCTGGTTATTTGATGGCATTACATTCCTTTTTTTTAATGCGGTGGCTTCTAATTCCATATTTTTTCTCATTAGTTCTTCAATTTTAGTCTCTAATACTTCTATTTTACTGGTTTCTTGTTGTACTACCCTCAATATGGTTTTTACTTCGTGTAACTCGTTTTCCGTTTTTATCAGTTTACATTGTAATAGTGCATATTCTTTATTTTGTTCATCGAGTTTTATGTTCATTTCTCTTCTAAACTCCCTCAATTCGTCAAGAAGTTTATTCTCAAAAGAAGAAACCATTATTTCCTTGGTATTTTTACGAGTACCGCCATGTTCGTTATAAACGAAATTGCTAGTTGTAAATGTTTTGTTCGTGATAATATTATTACAACGTACCGGTGTTCCGGTGTTATCCTTCTTCGGAATAGTACATACACACTCCGGGCAGATCCACGTATCCTTATACTCCTGCGAGAGAGTATCAAAACTTTCTTCCTGTATAGCAAGACACTTCAGATGGTAAAGCTTCTTGCATAATTGTTTCGAACACTTCATGTACAAAACATCGTATATTAGGGTATCGTACCCGGCGCATTTAATTCCCATTTGGGAGATTCTTCCACGTAAATAAATTTATAATACACTTTTACACTTTTAAATACGTCCGTTCGCTTAGACGCCTGACGACCGTTTTCATTATCATTAAATAGCTCACGTAATTAGAAAACGGAAATAAAACACAAAATAATAGAAGCACTAGACAAATTATATGGTTTGTCAAACGAAGTTGAAGAAGGTAACGGGTATAGTATAAAAAAAGTAAAGATAGGTCAAGAGAAAAATCTAGAAATAGAACACGAATTAATAAGAAAAATGGAGGAGCATTCCAAATTTTTAACAGTATGCAGAACCGAAACCCAACGTTTGAGCGAAGAGTTGAAAAGCCACAGAGAGGAGCTTATCACCTACGCAAGTGTGACAGCAAATCGGACCAAAAGACAGCCCCTTGAGCATATCACACCCCACTCTACAAGCCACTCTATAAACACATTATCTCCACAAATGCACTCCATCATAGTAACATCAGGCAATGTAAAAGACACTAGTAGTGAAGTCCTCGAAAAGATAAGAGTGGCGGTGAATGCAAAGGTGAGCGGGTTGAGGGTAGATAAAGTAAGAAAGGCTTGAGAACAGAAGGTGATTGTTGGTTGCAACACCAGGGAGGAAATGGAAAAGGTAGCTGACAGACTGAAAGCCAGTGATACGGGGCTCTCAATTGAGGAAACTAAAAATAAAGACCCACTGGTCATATTGAAGGACCTACTGCTGATTAATACCAATGATGATATAATAGCTGCAATTAAGTACCAGAACAAAAACTTGCTGGAATCTTTGAAAAGTGAAGATGTGAGGCTAGTAGTACGATTCCGAAAAAAGACCAGGAATCCTCACACGAACCATGTGATCCTTCAGGTCTCCCCACCAGTGTGGAAACGACTTGTTGAGATTGGACGTGTACATGTAGACTTGCAGCAGGTAGTGGTGGCTGACTATTCACCACTAGTGCAATGTTCCAGGTGTCTTGCATATGGGCATGGCAAAAGACACTGCAAAGAGACAGAAGACAAGTCTTCTCATTGTGGAGGTCCACATATGAAAGTCTCATGTACTGCGTTCATCGATGGAAAATTTCCATCTTGAACCAATTGCCTTAAGGCGAAATTAAACCGCACAAATCACAACGCATTCGATAGCATCTGTCCAGTGCGTAGAAAGTGGGAAACAATAGCAAGAACAGGTGTGGCATATTGCTAAAGTAGTGGTTAGGGACAGCAGCAAAAACTTAGGAAGACAAAATAGAAAAGATATATCCATCCTAGGGGCACAAGCTAATCTTCAGAGAAAGGAACTGGCAACAACCGAATTAATGCTCGAAGCAAGTAAGAGTGGAATTAGCTTTGCCCTGATACAGGAACCATACGTGGGGGGAATAGGATGCATGAAGGACTACCGGGGAGTTCGCGTGTTCCAGTGCTCCAAGAGAAGGGAAGGTGTAGTGAAGGCGGCAAAAGCTGTCTTCGATAGTAATATCGACATCACTCAATGTCCATCTCTCACCAGGAACAACATCGCAGTGGTTAAAATAAGAACGGACACCTGGGAGTTAGCAGTGATCTCATTGTATCTGGAACCGGACTCACCTAATGAACCGTACCTAGCTCAACTGAAAACAATAGTTTCGAGAATGGGAAGAACCCAAATACTTATTAGGAGGGGACGTAAATGCGAAGAGTCCATGATGGGGAAGCGTGAGAGAAGATGAACGAGGAGAAGCACTTTTGGGTACCCTAGATGAACTTGGTCTCTGTATACTAAATGAGGGAGATAGACCAACCTTCGATACAATAAGAAAAGGTAAAAGATATAAGAGCCACGTGTACATCACAGCGTGCTCTGAAAATTTTCTGAAACTGGTGGAGAACTGGAAAATAGATGATAGCATGACAAGTTCGGACCATAACACAATTACTTTTCAAATAAAATTAACGAAATCATTTGGTACTTCAATAAAAAGAACTACAAGGGTATACAATACAAAAAAGGCAAAATGGAGTCAGTTTCATGAGAAACTGAACTGAATGTCACCACCAAAAAGCGACGCATCAGATGCGCTGCCACAGTGCGAAAAGCCGCTGTTGTAGAGGAGTATCTAAAAGCGAAAGAAACCTATGAAAGTAAAGCAAAAAAAGCTCGGGTAAAAAGTTGGAAGGAGTTTTGTGGTAGACAGGACAGGGAGGGTTTATGGGATGGAATATACCGGGTTATTGGAAGAACAACAAAAAGGCATGAAGATCTGCCTTTCATTAAATCAAAGAATCAGCGAAGATGTTAGCCGAGACCTTTTACCCGGAGGATACAGTTGAGGCTGATAATGCAGAACATCAGCATATTAGGAAGCAAGCCAAAAAAGTGAATGTATGGACCCAAATAACTCTTGGGACTTGCCATTTACACTTTCAGAGCTCAAAAATGCAACTAACAGCTATCAACCCAAAAAAGGCTCCGGGTGGAGATGGTTTTACGGCTGACATCTGCCGAGAAGCTATCCTCCATGCCCCAGAGATTTACCTGAGTATAGTAAACAAATGCCTAAAGTTGGGACACTTCCCCACCATCTGGAATGAGGCAGTAGTGGTGGCGCTGCGTAAACCAGGAAAGGAAAGGACAGTTATACGCATCCCAAGGCATATAGACAAATAGGCCTATTATCAGTAATGGGGAAAATCCTGGAAAAGACGATTTTTAGACGGATTAGATGGCATATTCAACCTGGTAGTAGTACTCGCCAATACGGCTTCACACCTCAGCAAAGTACCGAGGACTCTCTCTATGACATGTTGGAATACATAAAAATACAGCTGCAAAACAAAAAGATAATAACAATGATATCACTTGACATAGAGGAAGCCTTCGATAGCGCTTGGTGGCCAGTTATCCGATGCCGATTGGTTGAGGAAAATTGTCCCAAAAATTTAAGAAGGATAATAGATAGTTATCTCCAGGAAAGAAAAGTAAAAGTGAGATATGCTGGAGTGGAGCAAACCCGGAAAACCACAAAAGGGTGCGTACAAGGTTCAATTGGAGGACCAGTGCTGTGGAACCTGCTTCTTGATCCCTTGCTCAAGGAGCTGGATACAAGAAGTCACAGATGCCAGGCGTTTGCTGATGATATCGTCCTACTGTTTGCGGGGGACACTGCCCTTGAAATCCAGAAACGTGCAAATGCCGCTCTTGAACATGTTCGGATGTGGGGAATTCGTAACAAGCTCAAATTCGCGCCACAAAATACCAAGGCAATGGTCATAACCAACAAACTGAAGTACAATTCACCACGTCTGAGCATGGGCGGGATAGGCATTGGCATGTCGGAGGGGATCAAGGTGCTTGTTCTCACCGTAGACAGAAAACTCACATTTACCAACCACGTCAGAAATGTGTGCATGAAGGCAACAGCTTTATACTTACAACTGTCGAGAGCTGCTAAGATCATTTGAGGCCTTCAACCAGAGATAATAAGGACGATATATACGGCAGTCACTAAACCGATTGTTATGTACGCTGCGAGCGTGTGGGCACCAGCTGCAAGTAAGTTGGGAGTCCAAAAGCACCTTAACACTGTGCAGAGAGGATTCGCCCAAAAATTATCAAGGCCTACCGTACAGTTTCCTTACATTCGGCACTAGCACTGGCAGGTCTGCTTCCTCTAGATCTAAGGATCCAAGAAGCAGCATCTCTTTACTTGGCAAAGAGAGGAAAACTCCAGTCAGTGTTGGGAGACCGAATCGTGGAGACAAGGGTAAGATTTATAGAACTGCCTCACCCATCGTCAGATATGGACCTAGAATTCGTCAGCTTGTTGAACGAGGACGATTTGAGACACTATAACACCCAGAATCTCCGAATATTCACTGATGGAAGCAAAATAGAGGGCAAGGTCGGACCAGCATTATTCATATGGAATAGTGCTTCCAAGATCCAAACTCTAAAGCTCAAACTATCAGATTTTTGCTCCGTTTACCAGGCGGAATTGCTGGCCATATACAAGGCAACTGAGCGAGTCCTCGAAAGCAATGAGTTTCAGAGTTTACAGTGACTCGAGATCAGCACTCGAGAGTATTGTGAACCAAGACTCCCAACACCCCCTCGCAGTCCAGACCCGACATAATATAACGACCATCTTGAACCAGCAAAAATGTATCCAACTCTTTTGGATCAAAGCCCATGTAAGATTAGCTGGCAATGAACGTGCAGACGAGTTGGCGAAGCATGCAGCGTTGCGAATAAAAACCAAGCCAGAGTACGATCGGTGCCCGGTTTCCTACGTAAAACGGTTGCTTCGTAAAGATACCGTAAATAGATGGAACCAAAGGTATAAAGAAGGAGAAACAGGTAAAACAACGAAACTTTTCCTGCTGGATATTGTTGATGGATACCAATTGGTCAAAAAGACAAACCTGTCCCCAACGATGATCCAGGCCATGACCGGACATGGTGGATCCTCTGAGCATCTTTACCGTTTTCGGTGCAAAGAGAATTCATCGTGTCCATGTGAGCCAGGAGTCGAGGAGACGGTTCTACATATCCTCCTGGAATGTCCTAGATTCGCAACTGATAGACATAACTTTGAGAACACGGTAGAAACGAATTTGAAATAAGATAATTTAAGCATATTGTTGGCTAGCAAGAAAACTAAATATAAATTCATAGAATATTGTGAGGGTGTTGTAAATAGAGTCATAAAATATAATAAAAATTAAGATTTGTGTTATTTATATTTATTATGTATTTTAAGCGCGTTAATTACCTAGGTAAGAAAGCTATTGGTGTTTCCTTGTACGTATAACTTGTTGTGCGACTGACGCCAAACTGAGTGACGCTGTCTCTATTTAGTAAAAATTTATTCATACAAGACTCCCCAATACACCGAATTTTCGCCATTTCGCAGCCGAAAAAAATTAATTATGGCTAAACAAAACAAAATTACCCTGCCATTTACATTTAGTGGCTTCCCACATGATAGATGAAGAGATTAAAAATAGATTGAGTTAAACGATTGATATTTTCAAAAGTTATCGTGTTTACAAGCCTTGCGAACTTGATAAATCCACACCATAAGCCACTATAACCCCTTTTTTATTTAGAAATAGCAATTAATCGATTTAAAACAAATATTAATAAGTTCAAAAATCATTTATCTTTCTATCAATGTGCTTTTTATATCATTTATATGTATAATATGATTGCTAGATATGATTTCAAGCGATAAAACGTTGGAATCTTAATATTTAGGCGATAGTAGAAAATACCTTGCGCTTTCGCTTGAGGCATGCAATGGTAGCATACAACTAACAGGTCAGTGACCCGTGCCGTCTTTTCAACCAGTCTGGCAAGACCGGCCGAATAGCCTCGACAGTCCTGCTTCCTGCCTTCGTGTGAGCTAGACACTCTTTCAACTTTTCAAGCATAAGCTGCCGGGTGTGAAGCTTCCGCAATTGCCACTCTCTGGGAGAAGGGAGATACCCTCGATGTCGAACAATTACAATTGAGATGCAGTCTTCAACAGGTGAGCATGTGAACAGTGACTGCACGTCAAAACTGACCATAGTTTCATTGTCTGCTAGATGTAGGTCTTTAATCTCGCTGACAAAATGGTAGAAATCCTTTGTGTATGCTTTTATATGCCCCTGAGCGGTGAGAGTATTTTCGCTAAATATTGAGCCAATATGTAAATTGGTGGCTCATTATGGGATGTAGTGGAGCATTGGGTTTGTGTATTTTTGGTAACCCATTTAGACGCAATTAGAATTACGACAATTTTTATAAATCTCAAAAAATATTAAGATGAGCAGAAAAATACTAAATTGTCTGAAATATCTTTTATTTAAACATCATTAATTTAACATCTTAACCTAATATCACAAATTGGAATGAATCTCTTCATTAATTAAAATAAAATAAAATCTTTAGACTAAGATCAATATCATGAAGTAATAGACATGAGCTAAATAACTTCTCGTCCAAAAACTACACGAGCACGGGTTGGCGGTGGGCGTGAACACGCACAGCTTTGCGCTATAAAAGGGCGGACTCTCGAAGTCCTCGCCGCCGCCGGGCTCCATCGGCATCGACGGCCGTGAACGCCGGCAGCCCCGCCGCTATCTCGGCCAGCTTGCGAGGATCCAGACACAAACCATTCCGCTCTGGGCTCAGTTCGTCTGTCTGGACTTGCCGATCGGTGGATGTTGATCGCTCTGAAATAATAGGCAGTTAGCCTGTTAGGCAATATAATTTGTTTTAGTTTAAGCGTTTTGGAATATAGTGGTTATCTTCTGCATTTAAAATTTATATCATTCAATTTTTAGTTACAATGTTTTCTAATATATTTATGCAAATCCTAAACAGTTCATAAAACTAATTTTTATATAACATGATAGACACGATTTTAAGGTTAAAATAAAAAAACTGTAGGATGATTGAGATGACTCATCATCAATAATATTTATCTATTCATTCATTCCAGCTTATAAAAGTCTATTGTCTACGACAAGGGCTTCTCTCAACTTTTTCTTAGGAATGATTTTGCCATAGTTGTAACGTTTGGCAGGTGGGTTGGCAACCGCTGTTTTTATAATTTTGAGTTGTTATCATGAAGATGCTGCTTCTCATTTCCGGTCTCAGTTTCTCTCTGCTGATGTTCTTACACCGCCTCTACGCGGTTTATTTATTCAGATTTATTCCATTATTGTGCATTAATTTCATTACGTTCATTTCTACGTTTTAGAGCTATGCTACAGCAATATTATGGTTGTAGCTCGAATTGGTCGGCTCGACAGGAGTAAGATCACACTCTCAAAGAATACCAGCGTAATATAGCAGCGCAAATTATTGTTTCGTATGGTGTGAGTAGAGAAACGGACAATCTTTTTACTGGAATCGAGGCATAGTCGTCGGGTGACAACGCATCTGCATTGTGATTCTTAATCGAGCATAGACGTAGATGTCTGTGGACTATGATGACTGTGAGCTCGTTTGTCACCATTATTCTATAAATGGCATTCCATCTCTAATTCTCCAATAATTTGTTTTATATTAGACACAACTTTAAAGTAAAGATGAAATCTGTGGGATGACAAACAAGGTGATTTAACATCAAAGTTATTAATCCATTAATTCCAGTATTGTATGATGGTTGTTCGAGTGGGAGGCGTGTCCGCACCGGTGACGTCGAGCGTCGAGAAGTCGGTGGAGGGCGTGCGTGCGGCGTGCGTGGGGGGCGGGTGCGAGGGCGGGGGCGGGGGCGGGCGGGGCAGCGGCGCGGCGCCCACGAGCGCGGCGCACACGGCGCCGCCCGCCGCGCCCGCGCCGCGCCACCGCGCCGCCGTCAGGCTCGCGCGCACGTTGCGCTCCGGACGCACCAAGATTATGTACACCTGCAACCATGTCCACCCGACTAAATTTTAACAATATTGTAATAATATTACATTATTATTATTGAACAAAGTTATAAACTTTTATTCTGTTGGACTTATTATTGTAAATACATGTATCCAAAAACAATTTTTACTGTATGCTGTCTGTCTACTCTTGTAATAAACCAATGTACACAAGTGAGTCTATTCTAACAAAATACAGCAGTGCATCATAAGAAAACACACAGTTAAAAATGTAGCTGTAATTACTACATCAGCTAAATTATTAAGTACGAAACCGATATCAATGCAATGTCGTACATTATATTATTATTAGATATCTTTCATCACGAGTTATGTTAGATTTGGTTCCAACAATTTCGAATGCCAATAATATCGTCATCCTATCTTTTACCTTCAATACTCCTCCTAAGCAAACAATTTTTTTATTGATTGCTGCTGCTGAGCCGCACTGATCTCATAATTATATCTTGTTTTTAAGGTTAAGAGTCCTGCAAGTTATGAAGCCATTACAATACATTACATCTTTATCCTCAGCAGTGATAAATCAACTGTTGCTTTCCTAATTAAACATAAGGACATTAATTATACACTCAAACACGAAAACTCACAATTTGTGTTTATGAACAAATTTCGGTTTTTCTTGGGACTAATATCCGCAATTGACAGGATTTACAAATAATAAGATTAAAGTTTATGAAATATGTTATTCGATACATGAATTATCGTTTATACGGCATATTCAATCACCTTTGGCGCGAACAGGCAAGCAAGGGTCACGCTGGCACTAAGAGAAATTGTGACGGCCATACTGGTGACGCGAAGTGGCACATGGCTTGCAGTGCCGAAGTAAAGGGGTACAAAAGCGAGCCAAATGACGCACGTAGTATACATAGTGAAACCTGTAAGATAAGGTTATAAGTATCGGGATAGTATTTTGTCAAAAATTGTTTAGTAGAATCCAGATCAATCTATCAATACTTACCAATATGTTTGCTCTCGTTAAATGCTTCTGGTATTTTTCGTGTGAGTACGGCGTATATTGTGCATACTACGATGAGTACAACAGGATAGAAGAAGGCGATAGTATATGAGGCATCCACGTAAGAATCACACACTAGCATATTATCTTCACGCGTAGGATAGTGGTGGATAGCACGAGCCGGCGATGCAATTTGCCATACTACTACAATGATAACCTAAATATAATAAACATAAATTGTTAAGACATAACGCAGTAACTATTGACCATAAAAAAGAAAAATATTTAATATTTAACGGTTTATACCTGGACAGACACTAAAAGTGAACAGATGAGAAGCTGAGATTTAGGTGAGATGAGAGACGGACGACGAGCCGAATGTTTGCTGGCATCGAAAATGCGTGCTATTCTATTAGTTTTTGTAAGTAGAGCAGCATATACAACAGTGAAACAAAATCCCGTGCCAAAACTGTAATAATCATTTGTTACTGATAAAATTGAATGACTGCTGTCAAATAAGATGTTTTAAAAAATTAAGAATTCTTACCGTTGCAAGGAGCAAATTATGTCTGTAGGACGGAGGACGAGTGCGAAGGTGACAAGATAACACATTAAAATACCAGCGAGCAACACAAAGGAGAGTTCTTTCCCGCTGGCACGTACTACAGGCGTCTCCCCATGTACCAGCCACACCAGGGCTACGAACCTGCGCAGGCCAAGAAGCTTTATAGTTCAACGTTAAAAAGAACTTCAAAATAAATACATAATCAATCAAAATAGATATAAGATACACCTAACGACGGTAAGATTGTAAATTTGCAGTCTTATAGTTTTTTGTTGCTCTGTCTATTCTAAATAAATTGATTTGAAATTGTTGGGTGTGCTGCGAGCAGAAAAGCACACGCTTATAGCAATTGAGCTTCAGTTATTTCTTGCACATCCCACTGAACGCAACTTGTACAAAGAAACAACATTAGATTTTGAACATTTAAAAATTTAAACAGTGTTTTTTTTAAGACCAGAGCAAATTTTCAATTTTTGTGATGAATTGTTAATTCGAAAACAATTTCTGATAAAATGGTTTGTTCAATAGGAAAATATTAGGTAAGTCTATTTATCAAAAGACCATTTTGCGTGAGCAATGGCACCATAATTTTATTAAACACCCTATAATTGAAAATGTAAAGGGTGAACCTTATGGCTAATGGCATTCTTTACCATTCAATCCTGGAAGGTTTGAGAAGCTGCAGCAGTTGTACACAGTTTACTAACTAAAATGAGTAATAAAGATATTAGTTACAAGAAAATGTAGATAATTACAATAAAGTAAAGTATACATACATAATACAATATAATTACATACAAATAACAAATATGTAAACGGGCACTAATAAACAAAATGTTTAAAAGTAATAAAGCACTTTAAAAGGCCAAAAATAAAATCACAAGGGATGCGTTATTATGATACATTATACACAAAATAAAGCGAAAGTAGAGATAAAAATCACACAAATCAGGCGGAATTATTTTTAAGATTATATTTTTCAAATAATTCTTGTTACTACTCGTAGTTTTCTTGACACCAGAGCATTATGGATTTCACAATATAAAACGAATTACTTTTATTTATTGAATAAAAATGAGTCTATTCTTATCAATTTTAAGGAATTTATGGCTAATGTAAGAACCCCTGGGAATGAGGTAATCGCTACCAAGATAGTTTTCAATTGTTTTGTCATGTATTATGTCAAAAAATGTCTCGCTGGGTTTCTTGCTGGTTTTTACAACCAGCATGTTACATGATATACGCACATGGTGAGCAGTGCCCCGAGCGCGGAGAAGGCCATGGCGCCGACGGCGGCGGGGTGCGCGGGGCGCAGGTACAGCTCGGGCACGCCGGCGCAGCGCGCGCGTGCCGCGTCGGGAAGCGTGCCACGCGGGCATTCCGCGCACGCCGTCTCCGATACCGGCGACCGGATCTGGACCACGCACCACTCAAATTATAGCGTCAATTGACAAATACAAATAAATAATACGAACAAAATAATACGAATAATTGTCGCTTGGTTATTGAGGACACTTGCACCGAAGCCACGCGTGCAAACGCCGAGCTATATCAATTTACATGAACTTGCTGCCGCAAAAATGCTGATCGTGAAGTATGTGCATCACAATGAATTTAAAACGGATATTGAATATTTACGTAAATCGGGCACATTAACAACAAAAAGTAAATTATTAAATTTAAATCCATATATCTACGCATAGCGTGTATGCGTAGATGTAAAGGAGGCGTGAGAGGTGTGTCAGGATCGCGCCAAATGGAAGTCCGTAGTCTCTGCCTACCCCTCTAGGTGACAGGCGTGAGTGTTTGTGTGTGTGTGTTATTGACAAAGCCGGATTTTTGAAAGTTGGTGGTCGGTTAACAAGAATGCATTTAAATATGGAAGCAAAATATCTCAAAATCTTTCCTCGAAACACTCGCCCTACAGAGCTGGTAATCAATGAAGCCCGTAAACTTACCTTTCATTGAGGTCCCAAATTGACATCTGCTAATCTCAGACAACAATACTGGATCGTTGGAGGATTAAACGTGTGAAAAAACAGTTGAGAAACTATGTAACGTGATGCAAGAACAAGCCGGAACTATCACATTAATTGATGGATGATTTGCCACCGGAACAGATGGAGCTTGCGCCCATATTCTTACATACGGGGTTAGATTACACCGGATTAATAGAAGTCAAGGCGAAAAAAACAAGAAGCGCAAGATCATTGAAGGGCTACATAGCAGTTTTTATCTGTATGTTGACAAAGGCGGTGCACTTGGAGTAAGTGTCCGACGTAGAGGCCTATGGTATTCATGGCAATTTACTTCATTGGATGAGATTGTACATATCCAGGAGGAGCCAGATTGTTGCGGTAAAAGGTTATAACTCTGCTCCAGCAGCGGTCACGTCTGGTGTTCCCCAAGGATCCCACTTAGGGCCATTGTTTTTCATGGTTTTTATAAATGATTTGGTTGACGTAATCCACAGTCACTGCCTACTTTATGCTGACGATATGAAGATATATCGCATGATAAGTGACGTGAATAAGTGCTTAGTTATCACCTTCACTACTAAAAACAATCACCTGGATTTCAAGTATAATATTAATAGCCAGCCTCTGACACGCAAGGAGATTGTTAAGGATTTGGGTGTATATTTCGATTCAAAATTTTCATTTCGTCCACATTATGATTATATTATGCAAAAAAGTTTCAGAAGCTTAGGGTTTATAATTCGTGTAACAAAAGATTTCTCCAAACCTCTCGCATCATTTCGATTATTATATAATTTGGTGTGTTCTGTACTAGAGTATGCATCCACTGTATGGTCACCCTTTTATATGGTACATTGTAACAATATCAAGAAGGTGCAGAGATGTTTCCTTCGCAGTGTTTGTGGCAGATATGGTCACTTGCGTCGTCTACCATTATACGACTCTCGACTAAAGTTTTTTTAATGTCCAACGATTATCTTTGAGGAGACAATTTGCCGAACAAGTTTTTTTGCACAAGATTGTACATTATCCTGTAGATTGCTTAGAGTTACTAAGGCTAATTAACTTCAACTCCGGTATATGAGAATGCGTTCAAAGAATATTTAGGTTAGACGTACACAAGAATAACACTTCCTTTTTCAACCCTGTTGCCAAAATGTGCCATGATTAGGACGAGATTAAGCGTGGTAACGTACATCTGGATATATTTGATAGTAGCCTTGTTAGATTTAAAAGAAAATTACGTGTTTCTCTTAATTTTTAATGGATTTTTTTATCTTGTTTATTTTTGTTACTCTACTGAAGTTATATTATAATGCTGTGTACACTTTTTTGGATTGTAGTTTAGATCATCACCATCATACTTATAATTTTAGAATTGTATGTAACAACTGTCTGTTTGTGTACCTTATTCAATAAAATAAAATAAAAATAAAATACTAATATCGAATCTGGCGTGGTTTCTAATTGAATGAAGCATAGTCATGTAATACATTTATTTAAATCTAATAGTACATTGGGCCCCGCCAATTTTAGACCTATTTTGTACTGCCAATACTTTGTAAAATTTTTGAAAAAATTATTCTCTAATTATTCAAATGTAAAAAAATAATGTAAATAATTAACTTCATAAAAATCAATTCAGTTCCACAAGAGGTCACTTGACAATTGATACAGGTATTGAGCTGATTAAATATATATTTAATATATATTTATGGGAGAATTCACAGGATGCTGTGAGTATATTCTATAACCTATCCAAGGCATTCCATTGTGTTCACCATGAAACATTATTCAGGAAACTTCAACACACTGTTGTAAGATATGATGGTCATAAATTAATTATTTCATATTTAAGTAATGTTGTCATCAACAACACTCGGCGTCTATCTGTTTTTTTTTATAAATTAATGACTTACCTTACATATTAGGGATAACCATGATATAGTATTACTTGCTGATGATACCTCATTAAAGTGTGTGTCAGGGCTTTAACTTTATATTGTCAATATAGTTTTATTCAATGAAAAAAATATTATTATTATTATTTATTATTAATTATCAAATTAAAACGACAATTAATAAAATAGGAAGAACTAAATAATGCTAAATCTAAGTTAGTAAATTGGTTTAACGTTAATAATTTGCGTTTAACATAACGTAACATAACACTCACGCCTGTCACCCAGAGGGGAGGCAGCGATCTTTCGCTTCCTTTACATCCATATATTTACGCATACACGCACGTCGGTTAAGGGTATTCCTAATCTGACCCATTTTCAATTATCGCCAATTTGGTCCATAAACTTTCGTCTAGGGAAGGGATAGCCTTCCCGAGTCTGCCGTTCACCTCTGCAATATAAATTTGCTTTGTCACTCTTTCCTCGTTCGTTCTTTCTACATGACCACCACCGCATTCCTTTCTTAATCCTGGTCAATACATCATCTTGCAAACCACACTTTTCTCACCCTGTCATGCAGAGTTAGCCTTAGCATACACCTTAATGACCGCATTTCTAAAGCATTTATTCTACTCTCGTGCTTCTTCTGCCAGACCCAAATTTCATTACCATACATTAAAGTTGGGACTAACACAGCATTATAAACTGCCATACGTGTCTTTTCTGACATATTTTGACTTTTCATAATAGAGCGTAGAGCCCCATTCACTCTATTTCTTGCGTTTAATCGTTGTTCTATATCTTTATCATATCTATCATCTCTGCTAAATACACATCTCAAATATAAAAACTCATCAACTTGTTCAATCAACTCCCCTTCTATTCTAATTTCACATAACGTTTTACTTTCTTTTTCTTCTCTTTCAAAAAACATCATTTTCATCTTATTTGCGTTCACTTTCATTCCCCTTTCTTTTAATGACCAGTTCATTAATGTAACCATAATTTGCAAATTTGCATTGAGATGATATTAAAATTAAATGTATGAAATTCATGACTCCAAATGTCAAATTTCTAGATACGAATGTAATTTTAAATGGGAAGGAGCTGAGTCTTGCCGACACCACCATTTTTCTTGGAATCACACTAGACGCGAAGCTTCAATGGGATTATATAAATCAAAACTAGCAAGCAGACTTAGTTCTGCAGCGTATGCTGTAAAAATATCAGAAATCTTACCAGTGTTGAAACAGCTAGACTAGTTTACTTTAGCTATTTCTATAGCATAATATCGTATGGTATTTTGCTATGGGGACACGCAACTGCCCCTGAAATTATATTTGTTTTACAGAAGACGGCCATAAGATCAATTTATGATTTAAAACCTACAGAGTCACTCAGACAAAAATTTAAGGAAACAAATATATTAACTTTGGCCTATCAATACATTTATAAAAATGTAATGTACGTACACAAAAGTAAAAGTAGTTGTACAAAAATAAGTGATACTCATTCTGTAAATACTAGGAACAGAAACAAGCTGTACTAGAGAGAGTGACTGGTAATTAATTCTGGAGGGATATATACGCTTTTACAACAAAATCCCAGAAAAAGTACAAAATTTGATCTGCTCAAAGTTCAAAAACTTTATTAAAATAAGTTTGTATAAAATGGGTTTTTATAGTGTTAAGGAATTTGAGGATGATAATAACTCCTGGGTATGAGGTGATCGCTACCAAGCTATTTCTAATTTATTTTGTGTTGTTAATTGTGTAACATACATCATTATAAGCTGTAATTTAAAAAAATCCACTTGGTATCTTGCTGGTTCTTCCCAAGACAGAGGTTTTTTTTTCCGAACCAGGCGTAGACACTGGCGGTAGCCTCTTATAAACTTATGAACTGATAACTCATGTATGATTTTAATACATACATAAACAGAGGACTACTGACGTCCATTTGGCACGATCTCGACACACCTCTCTCCCCTCTTACTTTAATGTATAAAGAAATCATTGCCAGCTTTTTACACAGAAGACTCACTATTTAAATGTCAGTACCTCATACTGTGTGCAATTGAAGCAGTGCCAGCAGCAGCTCTCGCCCTCCACGTACTGCTTCGCCTGCCCCAGCTCGCACTCGGCGCTGCACACGGACTCTGGAGGATGCCGCTCCCCCCACTTAAACTGGATCGCTACAATAGTAAAGAAATTAAAGTATTTACATGTAACAGGCCAACAGCTAGTAAATTTTGTTCAATTTCACAAAGTAACTAAAATGACTTAAAAATTTAGGTTATCTTTTTTTTTTTTAAAAAAAGCTACCTTCAACAAAAAGGAAAAACGACATAAAGCTTCTGGAACGAAGATAAGAAAGGAGGTTATCATTAAGATCTTAAATAACATCACTAAATTGTATTAAACAGAATCATATCGGCGTCTGTTAATGTGCATGCTTAAAGTTTTAAAACTAATAATTAAATAATAAATAAAAGTCTTTTGAGGATTGTTTTCCTGCATTATGCATACATATTTTTATTTATACATTATAGAGAAATGTAGGCGTCTTGTAACGAAGTCATAAAAATATAACAATACTAGATAATCGGTATTCTTATAAATTATGCTACCCGGGAGAATCGCTTGCTTATTTCAACTGTACGATGAAATAAGTATCATATAAACATTGAATGAGAAGAATCAACAATGGAATGAGGGAGGAACATGCAAACCTCAAAAGAAATTCAATTGTAAACCTACTGACCTCCATATAGAGGTCAGAGTGCAAACCATATAATAACAGCATAATTTAGATTGGGAATTTTATTAAATTAAGAAAATTTTGTAGGCAATTATTTTAATTTATAAAAATCACCGTCCATGTCCAACTCTAATTCGCCGTCAAGATATCTTCCCACTTTTAGCCAACGGTAGTTCCCAAGTGAAACTTGCTTGAAATGTAATATATTGTACCTGGCTGGACCGTCACCGTTACTATCAAAGTGAAATTCATCACCGCTTAATCCTGAAATGTATAGTTTTTTATAAAAATATATTTTACATTGTTTTTATAGAGTAAAAATTGGATAAAACATACCTGTGAAACGTACTTGTCTTAAATACCGCAATAATAACGGACCACTTATTGGCCGCATTTCCTGACAGAGCCCAGGTTTACCTCCGCACAAATCTCTGTGCATATCTCTAAAACAACATCCTGAGTAGTTTGCTGGTTCCATTTTATTTCAGTAAATAATTTACATCATAATTTACATTTTATATAATACATTACCTTATAGCATATACGAAAGCAAACACAGCGTCAGCAACAAATTGTAGTTGTCCTTCGAATTCTGTGTTATTAGCCGAGAGGCGTTCTTTTCCAGTACAAATACGTGTATAATTTCCATTGAATGGAGTCCGTGGACTACCGGGGTAACGACACCTAAACTGTTCCTCCCAAAATTCTAAACAATAAAAACAATCGATAAAAACAACAGCATCAAAGGGTTAGTTATACCATAACGATATCAATGTTTATAGATGGAGACGTCGAAATATTACCAACAAACCAAGGATTCCTGATGTTGTTTTCCACAGTAAGATTAAGAAAGTATTCACGAAAGCCTCTAACGGGGTTGGCCTGTGGCTGAACACTGATAGTGCCTTCGACCACGGGTTCGTTGCCGGCGGCGACGAGTGCACGTGCGCTCCATCCGTCCGACCCCACCCAACTAAAGGCACCATTAGCTCCACGTCGTTGTACTGCAGCCATCACGCCTGCAACTTCTTGGTCAGATCCGAACACGATAACACCTACAAAAAATACGGTGTTATGTTACATTGACATAACGCATCACATAATCGAGAGCAAATATGGCGGCACACACCTCTCGCTCGAGGCCGCGACAGCAGCCGTTCTACCAAAGCATCGTATGCATGCTCATCTGCTGCACCGGAATCTTTAACTAACCGCTCCTTCACAGCTATACAGATGTCGTTTCTTGCTAACATCGTCTCTAGTTCTTCGAAGGCCTAAAAAGTTGGCGGCTATTATTAACTTGTATTTGTTCAAAATATTAACTTTAAGCAAAATATAAACTATAATCTAAATTTTGTGGCATTATTTTGGGGTGTCAGCTAAACAGTGGGCTAATAAGGATTTGTAATCACAATAATGTTGATGATGAAATATACCTAGTCAGGTCATAAGTATTGTCACACAGTAAAAACTTTTCTTTTAGAATGCTGGCCACAAAAAAGTTTATTGAATTCGAATTTCGAATTGTTCATAAAAATAAAATTGTATACTTTTTAGAATTTTACTCATTTTTAAATATGGAGTGGACGCTTAAAGAAGACCGTGTTGCAGTTATTGCGTTGCATCGTTGCGGTTACGCGCCAATTCAAATTTTTGACTATATATAAAAATTGCGATTTTATTACAAACAACAACTTTAATTATATGTTACTAGCTAGTACCCGGTTACTATCGCTGAGGAAATAATTGTCAAAATATCGTTATAAACTTCGAAAACACTTTTTGAAATTGAATGATATACCTGGTCAGGTCATAAGTATTGTCACACAGTAAAAACTTTTCTTTTAGAATGCTGGCTACAAAAAAGTTTATTGAATTTGAATTTCGAATTGTTCATGAAAATAAAACGGTATACTTTTTAGAATTTTACTCATTTTTAAATATGGAGTGGACGCTTAAAGAAGATCGTGTTGCAGTTATTGCGTTGTATCGTTGCGGTTACGCGCCAATTCAAATTTTTGACATACTGAAAAATTTTAATATAACCAAAAGATTCATTTATCGTACCATCAAACGATACAATGAAGACTCTAGTGTAGATGACAGGTCAAGAAGTGGTCGCCCTCGGTCTGTTAGGACTCCAGCAGTGATAAAAGCTGTGAAGGCGCGAATTCAAAGAAATCCCAAACGTAAGCAGAAACTGTTGGCCCTTCAGATGGGGTTAAGCAGAACCACGGTGAAAAGGGTGTTAAATGAAGACTTAGGGCTTCGGGCATATCGAAGAAAAACAAGACATCGTTTGAATGCTCGTCTAATGGACCTGAGACTGAAGAGATGCCGCTCTTTGTTGAAGCGGTACGCGGGAAAAAAATATCGAGAAATACTTTTTTCGGATGAAAAAATTTTTACCGTAGAAGAGAGCTACAACAAACAAAATGATAAGGTGTACGCACACAGTAATGAAGAAGCGAGCAACCGTATTCCGCGTGTCCAACGAGGTCATTTTCCATCCTCGCTCATGGTATGGTTGGGAGTTTCTTATTGGGGCTTAACAGAGGTACATTTTTGTGAGAAAGGTGTAAAAACGAATGCAGTTTTTTTCTGTTTCTCATACCATGTTCAATAACTGGCACTGGGAATTCCAACAAGATTCGGCGCCAGCTCATAGAGCGAAGAGCACACAAGACTGGCTGGCGGCGCGTGAAATCGACTTCATCCGGCACGAAGACTGGCCCTCCTCCAGTCCAGATTTGAATCCGTTAGATTACAAGATATGGCAACACTTGGAGTAAAAGGCGTGCTCAAAGCCTCATCCCAATTTGGAGTCACTCAAGACATCCTTGATTAAGGCAGCCGCCGATATTGACATGGACCTCGTTCGTGCTGCGATAGACGACTGGCCGCGCAGATTAAAGGCCTGTATTCAAAATCACGGAGGTCATTTTGAATATACTTTAGTGTCATAAGAATCTATGTTTTGTTAAGTTCATTTTGGTATATAAATGGTTACATAATGAAAAAACTTGTTTCAATTATGTTATATTAAACATGTGACAGAATTTATGACCTGACTAGGTAAATAGCAAATGTAAGTCTTTACAAGTAAAGATGAAAGGTACATGCCTTTATCCCATAGTTTGATTCTTCGTAGATAATTGAGACATAGCGCCAACCAAGTTTCTTGACAATCTCGACCATTGCTTTTACTTGGTGCATATCTGAAGGAATAGTGCGTGTAAAATATTCGAATCGGGCCTTATTGGATAATTCGGGAGACGTTGAAAAGAAAGATACCTGAGAAAACGTCAAATGAATATTTTAATTGTCTAAACAACATACAACGAAACAGGTTATATCAAACTCACTTGTGGTATTTTGAAAAGACGTAGCAGGTTTGCGACCTGAACAGAGGTAACGCTTGATGCGGCACCAACTACTCCTGAAATCACCTTACGAACGGCTGAAGCATTACATGCATATTCCTCATCGTCAATGTTACCGATCGAACCTATAAATAGAAAAACGCTATTAGATAATTAAAAAAGTGTTTAACATTTATATCCCAAAAACACGAAATGTCATTTTTTGCGCCTGATCTGTCTCCAGTCTTTTCGAGTTACCTTTCCATCAATCTACAAGTGTAAGGGAATAGAGAGTCCACATAATCCTGTCCTGTGCAGATTGCTAGTTACCTTGCTAGGTACCGTTGAAACTGGCCGCCGAGGCCGCAATGATGTCTAGAGGACGTTATTATGAGTAGTATACTATGGCTATTTTTATTTTTCTTTAATACCCAGACTATGGAAAATGGAAGAAAAAATCTTATTAATTCCGAAAGATGGCGTTATACCACTGACAACGGGTAGCAGCGTCAAGGGTGTGAGATGTCGGGTATTGCGATCAGCAATCTGCCGAGCGTGGCGATCAGGGCAAGGCCTTTGATAATAGGAGAGCCCATGTTCAGCAGTGAACTATTAAGGGCTGATAATAATGAAGAACAAGAATAAAATGTTGGTTTATACAGAAGTGAACGGCTGAATCCGAAAGGGACCAAGGGTCCACCGAATGGCGATATATTGAAATGGATCAAACTAAGATTCCCCTGGTCGCCGAGCATAACTGATTTGAATCCGTGACCCTTAATGCTGGAACTTATTGTCAAGCCATGCGCCACAGATCCGTCAAGCCATAAAGCTTTGTGGAATAGTATTAACCTTTAATGAAGTCAAGCGCCATCTCAAGGCCGCGCGTGTCGCTGTCGCAGTCGTCGAGCACAAGCGCTCCGAGGCGCACCCCGGGGGGTGCCAGCGCCGCGGCCGCGTCCAGCGCGAACAGCATCGCCTCCAGCGCCTGCACGCCGCCTTGAGCCATCAGCGGCCCGCAGCTCGTTGTTTCCGCACGCCCGTGCACCTACGCGGACATTTCATACAGCTTTCTTTAGTAATCCCTTTATACTTGGTAGACCAATGTTGCAGCTATTTTATAGTAGTAACACTACAGGGGAAGGACCACGCTCTCACAGAATACCAGCGTAGCATAGCTACTCAATACTGCTTTTCGTATGGTGCAGATAACCGTAGACTCTTTTTTCTGAAAAAAAGGTATTCCTTCCTAATTCTCAGAATTAACAACGATCTGCATTTTAATTCGTTATCAAGGATAGATGTAGATATCTATGGCCCACAGTAACCACTTACTATCTACATTATAAGATGTGTGCTCGTTTGTCACCCTTATCCTATAAAAAAACTTTGTGCTACAACCATCGATCACATATAGCTACAATATATACAACACTTTCATTAACACAGAACCGTAACGCAAGGGTAAGTCGTTCGCCTTTTCATAAAACTGCATTGGTACAATTATTAAAATCTTAACTACATTTTTAAATTGGTTTAGTGCAAATTAATACATCGTGAGAAAGCAACAATAAAGAGAGGTGTCTTGTGCGAGGTATATTTTTTTATATTTGTACTAGCTGGCCAAGCAGACGTCGTACTGCCCTCTCCGACTTTGTCCTATAAACATCCTTAAATTACCAATAAAAATATTGAGAGTCAAACGGGATAACAACTATCCTATCTCTCAAGTTGGACCAAACTGCATAGAGTGTGCAAAATTTCATTGTAATCTGTTCAGTAGTTTAAGAGTTCATCGCGGACAAACAATGTGACACGGAATTTTTATATATAAAAATGACATGATATTTATAACTTTTATTAACTACATTTTAACACACTTTTATTACTTATAACAATTGTATTAAAATGTACTAATTTTAATTTTACTTAAGTTTATAATTTCCTTTTTTATATTCATGATACAAAGTTGATTGTTTAAATTAGATATAAAAAATTAACATTATTCTTTAAATTTTCTTTTATACTCGCTGCACCTTGCTATTTCTTTTTCAGGTTGCAATTGCACAAGGGCGCCTGTTTTTTTTGTTATCTAGTATATTATATATAGATGCGTAACATAAGCACATTATTAAAATTCGTATTTAAAAAATGTCAAGTACGTGTTGGGACATACGTAGAGTTCCACTGTGCAGAATATTCCTTAAATCATACAGAATGTATATAGATTCTAGTGTAAATGCTTGCTTTTTTGTACAAACTTTGTAACCTAAAATAATATGAGAAATCACGGGAGAATTTACTCTGCACTTAAAATTTCTTCTAAGTGAACTTCCACTGCAAAGATCAACGAACTCAGTCCATTATGTTGAAGTTATTTGAATTGCATAGAAATTAGATTAGAATAGTTCTTGATGACTAAAAGATTTTATATATATTATGCAATAAAACGCATTCCCCGTTGAGCGCTGCTCTATGACACTAGAAACGAGGAAAATTCTGTAAAATTAGTTGTATGCGATAAAAAGAAGACATAAGTTCGTTTTATTTGAACACAATTAATATGTCATATTAATTGTATATTCCCAAAGACTTGTTAGCTTTAAAATATTCCTTTTATCGTCAAAAGTAGCAGGATGATTCGTTTTAGTAGAAATTCGAAAAAAAAATACACTTAATTGTTTTATTGTCTTAGCTGTCTTCAAAAGTACTCAAAAGGTTTGTTTTTGCTTAGGCAGTCCAAAAACTTTTTGTACTTTCTGCAACAACAAGATGTTGCGTCTAGCTTGCTAACTCAAGGACCTCTGTTTGAGATATATTCCTAACTAGCTGGTACATAATAAATGTCATGGTGATTGGTTGTTACACGGGTGTGATAAATTTTCTCAGGAAAATTTTAATTATTTTTATTTTAACAACGCGCTTCGCACGTCCATGTGCTTTTGTTGACCATGTTAACAGTGAGGTCATTTAATTATGATTAGTAGCGCTATGTTGAATTATATGCAAAGTGAGGTGGATGTGGAAAATAGTGTGATTACTGAAAACAGTGAAAATGAGATTACAATGAGCATGGAGGATATTCAGCAGATGTGTAATACTGAAGATAGGAATGAAATGTTTTTAGAGAGACCTTCAAAGAGGAGAAGGGCGAATAGACATAATATACGCATAGAGGATAGTGTGTGTACGAGAACTCCGGAGGATAAAATTGAGGTGTGTTTGACATGTACAGAAAAACTCCCTAAACAGTTCGGATTGGCAAAAATGTTAAAAGCGGAAAGTATAAAAAACGTCACGAAAATTAAATACATAAATACATTTAAGGTATTGATTCACTTTAGTAGCGAAGAAAGCGCTGAGTCTTTTATACAGTGCAAGAGATTTAACGAGAAAGGTTTTAAATGCCAAAAAACTTTAGAAATTAATCAATCATATGGGGTCATAAAAGAGATTGATCTAGAATTGAGCGAAGAAGAGATATTACAAGGAATTAATAGCGAAACTTTGATTTTAGCGGTAAAAAGGCTAAAGCGAAAGAACACTTACGACGGTCATTGGGAACTGAGCGAATCTGTAAGAATTTGTTTTAAAGGGTCATCATTACCGTCATATGTTTACATCTATGACACTAGGGTGAAAGTGAATCCTTACACTTACCCAGTAACACAATGCTCCCGTTGCTGGCGATTTGGTCACTCGATTAAAATGTGCCCTTCTCTAAAAGTAATCTGCCCCAAATGTACAAAAAGTCATCCTAATTGTGAAACGACAACTTTCAAATGCAATAATTGTATGGGAAGACACATGGCAATGGCTAAAATTTGTCCTGTTTTCTTGAAGGAGAAACGAATTAGAGAACTCATGTCAGAATTTAACTGTTCTTACAGAAAAGCCCTTATGCTATATGTCCCACCATCGCTTCGACTACCAAACATGAAAAATGATCCGCCTCTATTTACACAATTTACATCTGAAAATGAATCCTTGCAACAAGATAAACCGACGCCTGGGTCTAGTGATGTGTATACCTACGCCAGTGTTACGAAATCAACCCCGGAAAAAACGAAGAAAATTTCGAAGTCAGAGAAACGAAGAAATAGAAGGAAGTCTCTCAAAGAACAGCAAGGAAATATACCTGAAGTTGTAACTGAAGTTAGTGAGGAAGAAAGCAGAACGGAAGAAGAACTAAGTGATGAGAGTCGATCTAAATATAAAGAACTAGTGTCTTGGAAATTATTGTTTAAAAAACTAAAAGAAAAGATGTTTGAGGAGGAAAGCAGTTCATGGGAAGACAAGTTCAGTTTATTGCAGATCAGCCTTGTTGCAATTTCATAAAACAGTTATGGACAACAACATCTCAAAATCCCATATAAATGTGCTACAATGGAATGCGCAAAGCATTCGACCTAAATGTACAGAGTTGGAAGCGCTATTAAATCAAGAAAAAATACATATTGCTATTATAAGCGAAACTTGGTTAGACCCAGGTAGTAACTTTCACATTAGTGATTATAATGTCTTTAGAAGGGATCGTGATGACGGATTTGGAGGCGTAGCTATATTGACACATAGATCAGTTAAGGCACAAAAAAGTAATGTTGAACTTCTAAATTCAGAAATTGAGATCCTTCATATTAGAGTTCTAAATTGCAAACATATAGAAAATGTATACTCCTTATACTGCCCACCATCTGCCAATACCACGTTGAGAGATTGGGACCAAATCTTCAATTTAGACAAACGAAAGACTCTAATTGTAGGAGATCTTAATGGCCACCACACTAACTGGTCAACTAGAACGGATTCTCGAGGAGATCAAATTTTGGATTCCATCTTAGAAAACAATTTTGTTTCACTAAATGATGGCACACATACTAGAACTAAACTGGTTAACGGTATAGTACAAAAATCTGCTCCCGACTTATCTTTAGCTTCTCTGGATATAGCTTTGAAGTTCGACTGGATAGTACTAAATGAAAATCTGGGAAGTGACCATTTAATGATTAAGATGAGAACTAATGTTGGCACATCCAATTCCTATAAAAGAAAACGTAATTTTAAAAAGGCGGACTGGTCAAAGTACAAGACATACATAAAGAGAGAAGTAGAAGGCTTTATATTATCAGATGACCACCAGTCTGCGTATGACGCTTTCATTGGTATTATTAATGGGGCAGCCGATAAGTGTATCCCGTTCATCAAAATATGTGAAAACCCTCTTCACCAACAGAAATTTACTCCTAAACCATATTGGAATTCGGATATTTCAAAAGCTGTAGCAGAACGACGTCGAGCACTTGCTGTTTTTAGGAAAAACCCCACACCAATAAATTTAGAAACACTACAGAACAAGGTCAGATTGGCACAAAAAATTATCCGTAGTAGTAAAAGTAGGTCATGGCAATTTTTTTGTGAAAACATTGATAGTAGGTCAACTTCAAGCGAAATATGGGCTAAAATGAGATGGCTAAAGGGGTGCAAGACAGCAAAAAGTAATATTCCCCGTAAGCTAGCTGACTCCTTACTATGTAGCTTAGCACCTGATTATGCAGATCCACCGGCTCCTGTATTTACTAGTGAGAACGCTCATCTATCCTCACCTGTTTCGGTACATGAACTCGCAAACACAATTAAACAGTCCGATACAGCACCTGGCGCAGACAACATTGCATATTCTATGATCAGGAACCTGCCAGATGCTGCCAAAACTATTCTCATATCTTTATACAATAGATTTTTGCTTTCAAGCTTTGTTCCAAGACAATGGAGAGATGTGAAAATAATTCCTATACCGAAACCGAAAACTAACAATATCTCAGATTCAGGTATTAGACCTATTGCCCTGCTATCTTGTCTATGCAAGATATTTCATACAATTATTACGCGCAGACTGGAATGGTACATTGAAAAAAGTAACTATTTATCAGAGGAAACAGTAGGCTTTAGAAGATCACGATCTTGCATGGACAATTTGACTAGATTAGTATCACGAATACAAAGTGGTTTTGGTAACGGAAACGTCACTGTAGGATGTTTTGTAGATAT